TTTTTGAGTGACAACCAACGCAAACAGCGAGCCAATTAATATTCATAAGAATTTTGTTACGCTGCCGCCATAAAAAAAACGTATACCGAAATCCAAATAATAATAAAAATAAAAAAAATCTACATAGTCACCGTCACAGTCTATCGCAGCAGCGGCCCAAATCCAAAGGCCCAAAGCACTTACCACAGCCAACACACACACGCACACACACAGGGCAGTTGAGTGTGGGGTCTGTAGTGGAATAAAATGTATAACAAACGTAACGAATCGAATGTTTTAGGCCTGTTCCAGTGTCCATCCAAAAATCACTGGGCTGCTGCATACGCAGCGAAAAACTCGACTTGAAAACTCGTCGAAAAGTGAAAATCACACACAAATACATACACACACACACACTTATTGAGAGTGTAAATTCGTCATGATGACGTCACGGCATCCAAATTGATTATACATACAGCCAGCGTATCCTTTATTTTTGCATGCAACATAACGCCCCTTCCAGCTGGCAAACCAACCCCCAAAGCAGCTGCCACAGCAGATATATGCACACACACATATATATATATATATATATATATATATATATATATATATATATATATATATATATATATATATATATATATATTTATAAAGCCAGTTTAGCTTTGGCTTTGCAAATCTCAAGTGTTGTTTGTGCCTATAAATTACATTTGCTATGAATAAACATTTTGACAGATTTTTGGTTATTTCTTTTATTATTATCATTTTCTTTCAATTTTATAGTTTCTGTCTTTTTTTCTGGGGCAACTCTTTAAAAATTTAAATCTTTGTATATTTTGTTTCGTTTTTTTTTTTTTTTGGATTAATGTCGTTTGTTTTAAGGCGCGACTCGATGATTTAGGAATCAGACTAAAAGCCATAAATATTATTGGATATGCATATGCATAACTGTTGTTGATATATTTACTACTCTATGTATATATATCTCTGAATGTATTTGAAGGGTCTTCAACCTGTTCACAACTTGTCAAAGCCCAGAAACAGCAACATTTATTAAGTCGTAAGTTTTGACTGTGAATAAAAGATTATCCTTAAATAGTAATAAATATCTAGCTAATTAAGTGTTGTCATGTTTTCAGGTGATGTATCTTTTCTTTTTCTTATTAAAAGACATTTACGATATTTTTCGAAATTTTAATTATTCAAATGGACATGGACACTCGCAAGACTCTTTGGAATGCATAAATGTAAAATTAATAATTAATAAAAATATAACAATAAATAAATTGCATTAAATATAAATTTGTCGATCTAGGCTTAGTCTTAAATTGGTGTATTCATTTTAATATTATAATTTGTCTTTATTTAAAAAAAATAAATATTTTTACTTTATTGTATATTTTTATTTGATTTTTTTAAATATATCTTTAATTTAAAAAAATCTTTATCTTTATTTAAAAAAAAAAAAAATAAAAGCTTTTGAAATATATATAGATTTGTGTTTATATTTATTTTATATATTTGAAATTTTCTTATAATTATATTAATTGTGTAATCAGGTATTTTTATATTTATAAACATAATTATTTATTTATTTTTTTAAATATTTTTTTTATTTATTAGTTCATAATTTATTATTATTATTATTTTATTATTTTTATTATTAATTTTGTATTTATGATATTTCTAATATCTAATATATGTATATTATATATATATATATATATTTAATATTTAAATTTTATTATTATAGGTATTATAAAATTTAAATTAAATTAAAAAAAAATACATTTTCTTAAATGTTTCCAAGTTTTTAATATACTTACAATCTATAATACTTCACCAAATAATCCATTTAAATAATTACCAATTTCTTGGCCTATTTAAGAACTTATTTTCGATGCTTGTGTGAGTTTATCTTTTGTAATCACAGAGTTAACCTGATTGGCATTAGGCACTGAAAACTGTGCTCACCCCAACAGCTCGCAATATGTTCTCAAGCGAATTTTACATTTCAATGGTCCATTAAACAGGGAATACAATAGGAAACGCGCTGCGAAAATATTTTTCTAATTCACTTGTCAATAAATTGCGCTAAGCCCATAATTATGCCCACAAGAGAGAGAAATATATGTATATATAGCGTTGATGGATAAAAAGGAAAAACTAGTAAAGAGAAATACGTAGATGGAATACTTAATTGCTGGCAATTTTGCGATGCGTAGCTAAAGCTGCAACCGACTGATGGACAGATTCCGGTAACGCGATTCGAACCCTGAACGAGGCCAACTAGAAAGATCGCAGTGCGCGCAGCTTTGATTGAAAACGAAGCGAAACGCAATGCATCCATCCCCCAACCCTTATTTGTGAAGGTTCAGGTTGTTGTTGTAGTTGTTGTTGCTGCTGCTGCTGAGGGTTGTTTGTGGTCGCTTGGCTGAGTGTTGTGCGTGGTTATTGGCGGCTGTGCCCACTCGAGCATCTCTCGGCATAATTTCAAGTGGACCACAACACTCGAGGTCGGTCTGGCTCTAGGTCTGAGACACATACACAGAGAGTGAGGGAGAGAGAGGCTGCGATTGCGACTGAGTCCAAGTATAACCCATCAACTTGGCATACATACTCAAAAGACCAGCAAGATGCTTGTAGTTGTTGCTTATTTTTGTTATGACAAACAGATACCCTGTTTTGAGATCCCCTTCAATTATTGATGCGTAGACCAGATCGAGGGCTGACATCTAGGGCATACTTTGTTGACCCAAAGAACATTCTGGTATTTGAAGAAGACGGAATTTACATATTCATTTGACTCATAGATACCCTGTTTCTATATACCATTCAAATATTGATCAGTGGACCATATTGATTGGCATTTATAGGCCCAATTATATTAAGACCTAAGCTTAGGTCATCATTCGAAGCCCAGCCTATAGGCGGGCAAGTAGCCTGTTAAAGAAGGCCGTATTTGCACATACCCTATCTACCCTGTTTTGACAAGCTTACATTTTAGTTTGACCAGTACATACCCTGTTTTCTCAAGCTGCAGTATTCAATGAAAGAGTTTGCTGAGCATCACAAAATGATGTCTTTCTAAACTTAAAAATATAATATAAAAGCTTGCCTAGCCGATACTGTGTCTTGCAGTTCATATATAGCTTGATAGTAGTTTCAGTATATAAGTTTATCTATGCATGTGTGAAGTTGTCTTTGTAATTAGAATGAATATATATAAAAAAGGCCATTGCTGTGTAATTTTTATTTGCGAAGCAGTCAAAACTTTCAAAATTAATTTCTACTTCAGCTATTACTTTATACTCTAAACAAAAGTTTTACATAAATTATTTGTCTAACTATTAGATACCCTGTTTTAAGTTTTTAAGTACATTAGCTAACAAAAAACAAAGAAGGCTGTAGTTGACTATGTGCTCGATACCCTCTAGGCAGAGCTGAAAAAATGATTCGTTAAAAATATATTTGAATTTTATAAATATTTATTATTATAATATATTATGAACACTCTAATGAAAAGCTAGGCAAAAGATTAAAAAAACAAATTTATATATTTTCTTTTAGTTATAAGCGTCTTACTTAAAATTTAATTTTATATTATAATCTTTGTTTTTAAATTTTTAATTGTTAAGAATTTTTAATTAAGAAACAAATAGCCAGGCTTAAAAAATTTCTTCTGTAACAATTAACACAGCAAAAGAAGTCATCCATAAAAATTTAAATGTATTTCATATACAAAATACGGAATTCACTTTCTTTAGCTACTTTGTATCAAAAAGCAAATATCTCTCCGTCTCAATCGTGAAGGATGGCAGAAGTAAAATGATTTTAATTGGCCGCTAGCCACGGCCATGGCAACAATTATTGTGGCTGTTCAGGTGGTTGAGTGGCTCGTGAGCACTGGGTGGTTGAGCGGCTTGGGTAGGTGCTGCTTGCGTAACCCTTAAGCTTTGTGTAAGCCGTGGCAACGTGCCTCATTTAATTTGTATCAAGTTACCAAATTTTGTGAGCCGCAATCCGATTGGCAGCACACGCGAGTCGCATTTGCGGCTAATTAGCTGGTAAAATATACTCATATATATTTATATATATTTCCTTTTGATGGCCGACTCTGACAGCTGAAGCCAATTAAAGCGATTTATGCAAATTAAAGCAAAGGCACAGGCAAAGCCAACTTTCTTTTCTACTTACGTATTCATTTATTTATTGTTTGTCTAGGCTCACTTGACCTTTTCAACTCGGTTCCAGGGAACACTTGACACCTTCGCCAGTGGCCAGTCAAATATCTATTGGCTATCTTTATTTGCATGCGGCCGAGGTCTCGCCACTCTGACCTTACACAAACAACAATAATTTGTGTATATTGGTCACTTGAGAGGTGCGAGTTGTTATTTTTATTTGGGCTAAGGGCAAAGAGTAGCAGCGTTAGCTCGATTCAAGTGCCTGCACTCGAGTGTGACCAATGCAAATGCTGACAATAGCAGCTACTGCACAAGTAAGTCTTGCAGTGCACAACGAGGCAAACTTTAAGAATTTCTGACACTTCTGCAAATGTTATACAACGCTTAAGGATAATATGAATTGATAATAAAAAAACTAAGATTGTGCAACACTTTTATAGCCTCAACTGTTACACAGCACTAATATTCCACAGCTTAGGGTACTCCTATGAATGTTAACACTAAAATAAATCAAGCCTCATTTTGTGCAGCGCCGAACACTTGAGCAGAAGTTATGCAACACTGGACAGTTACTAACACTAAAAAAATCATCATTGACCAACACTGTGATGTTCCCCACTCTTATGCAACACTGATTTTTTACAGCTAAGCTCGAATGCTTCTCTGTGGAGTTCACTTTTATTTTGGCTCTCGAGCTGACTGGAACTTCAGTTCCTTATATATATATATATATATATATATTTTTTTTTTTTTTACTTCTCCTTTTTTCTCCTTTTATATACATTTTTTTCTCTTTTTTTAATTATTTTTTTTATGTATAATTTATTAATTTTATTTTCTTGGGGCATGAAGAGTGTTGTTTCGTTGTGTTAGGAAGAGGCAAAACTATTAAATATTTATAATTTATTCAATTTGTACATTGATGTTCCGTTTGCCCGTAACCTTTTTGTTTCGTCTTGAGCTTACTCCCAACTGGGGTTTTGAGCTGCGGTGGAGAACGTTAGATTTTTTTTACGGAGTGATGATGCGGAGTATGGTTAGTAGAAGTTTGGGTCTTCCATGGAGACCAGTTCCAGCAACAGTCTCGGGAATGTGTTGTGGAATGTTGTTGACGAGAGTTTTTCGAGTGGGCAGGTGATATATACGATGCTGGGTAGTTTGTCTGAATTTCTTGTTCAATATAGAGCGCAAGAACCTAATGCAGGAGTAGAGGATTTGCGTATAATAGATGTATTGGCTGCGGAATCCTGATGCGTTTTATTTGGAGATGCTCTTTGTTCAGCTCTGGGGGGTTCGTGGCAACCTACTTTTTGGCCACTGCAGCACTCGATAATATGTGGTGTGCCTGTTGTATTTGGCTGTCTTGTAAGTGGTGTTAAGCGGAGAGCTTTCAGCTTCTGGACTCCCCTCCAGTTGGCAGTGTGGGCCTTTGGTTGGGTGCATTCAGCCGTCATGTGTAATTGGCCGCATTTGACGCAACGAGGGTTGCTGAAAGAGAAGGCTTGTGGTATGGCGGCGGACTTTAATTTGATCATATTGAAGATCTCGGGTCTAGTTCCACAGAGGAGAATGGATTCAATGTTGATTGGTGTACCGATGCCTTTGATGGGGATCTTAAGAGCCAAAATCTTCTGGAAGATCAGTGTTTGTCTGCAGAGTGGCGAGGTGGAATATTCAGTTCTCCTTTTGAAGATTATTATCGTTGGAGGTTTAAAGATTTGGGGAGCAGCAAGATGGAGCAGTAAGGATGCTGTTTTTTGCTGCCTTCGACGTTCATGACAATGTCTTCCTAATCCTAATTTTCAGGATCAAGATTGCAAGATGACAAACGTTTCTATGACTTGGATGATGTAGGAGCCCCCGACGACTCGGCTCGAATAGTAGTGTTTTTCTGATGGTGGAAGTATAGGAGTAGGAGTGGAAGTACTCCCGTTGAGTTGATGATTAAAATCTTTGGAGAGTAGGAGAGAACGTTACTAAATATTTCATTATATTCGAAAAACTCTTTTTGTATTGGATTTGTGTCTGTCTTGGCTGATACTTCTAGTGCAGCAGAGTTCTCAGAGCATTCTGAAGATTGCTCGATGTTTTAAGTGATGGATGAGATGAGATAATTTATTAATATTTTTTAAAAAATATAAAATATATGTGCTCATAGTATCAAATGAGTTTCTGATTGTGTTGGGATATGTATTAATATTTTATAAAATTTTTTTTTAATATTTTAATTTTGTGTTTGTCATTCTTTGGCAGTCTAATCAAATTGTCATTTTTTTTTATATATTTTTAACGTTTAAACGTAAAATAAAGAGCTGAAAATAAGAAATTGTATTGCTCTAAAAGAAAATTATATAATTATTTTCTTTAACTCTTATTGATATCAATTCAAATTTTTTATATTTTTTTGTCTTTTTTGCTCTGTCATTGGGAGTACAGCAGCAACAACAGCAACACAGCTGCTGCTAATGATGCCGCTGCCAGTTTGTCTGGCAAGCGAGAGAGGCTTGCTGCACTGCATGCAGTCACCGACAAATATCTTAAATATATATATATATATAGAAGCACGTGTGTGTGTAGGTGAGCAGACGACTACCTGCAGCAGAAATATTTATCGATCTGCAGTCGAGGCCAGTTATGAAAAATGTACTTTCGTTCGAACGGGGCCAAAACATCGAAGACGTCATGAAGTCTGAGTCGAGGCAGACGCGCTGCTTCTACTGCTGCTGCTGCTGCTTCAAATCAGGATGCGCTGCGCTGCATCGCTTTGTTTTAGCTCGAGGTTCTTGGCTTGGGACTCGACGTCGGGCCCTTCACACAGCATGTGGCCAAGTCGAGAGCACATATACGTTATTTTTATAATTTTTATGACCTGGTCAGGTATTTTCTTATTTTTTTCGGCCATCGTAAACTCCTGATGAACCTCATAAATAATATGTATTTCGATATTTATGCGTGTCGCTTCACACTTTACACACACGGCCAGAGCCTGTGCTGTGTCGTGCCGACTCCAAATACCCCGAGGAGCGATTCCATAATAAAACCCATGTCAAAGAAGTTAACACACCAACTCGATCGGCTATCAATGAAAATATTGGCTTGTGGAATTGGCCTGTGACTTAAGCCGTCTTTCGATTTTTCCAAGGCAACGCCTACTTAGCGCTGTTTATGGAGTTCTTTTTTCCCCCCGCCTATGAGACAATTTTCCCGAAATGTCAAATGTGGATAAATAAAATTTGTAACCCCCGTGGAGCTGAGCAGCTGCCCGTTGCCTGTTGTCTGCCTGGACTTTTTAACATATTTATTTTCGAGTCGCAGTCGCAGTCACAGCAAAAGATCAAAGTCTATTCGCGGAGGATTTTTCTTTTGAAATTTCAAGAAATTTTAAGTTAATTTTTAAGTGTCTTCAAATTATACTTTGTATGAAATTTTAAGTTGTTTGTAATTTTCATTATAGTTTTTAATAAATTTTATTAAATGTTTGAGAATTTTTAAAAATATATTTGGTGTTTTTATTGGGATTTCATCAGGAGTATGTTCACTATTTGAAATAAAATAAATAAAGTTGGAGATATTAATAAATTGTATTGTGCATCAAACAGAAGTGGACATTGTGAAATATGTTTCATTTCTTTGAAGAAGTCTGAACACAGAAGCCGACAGCAATGAGCCGACGACTTTAGATGAGCTTGGATAAAAACTGGTAGAAAATTGCGGTTTCGTAAAGTTCTTAAGGCCAATTCTTAGGCCTGTTTCGATCACTTTTTCATACAATTTTTATTTCTATTAAACAATTTTTCATAGAAATTTCAGGTTCATTTCGATTTTTTTTCACAAAAATTTCAGGTCTATTTCGATTACTTTTCACACAAATTTCAGCTTAAATATTTGCTCTAGCTTCATCCAAAGTCGTCGGCTAATTGACCAAACTCTTGAAGCGACTCCACAGATGAAGTAAGCATCTGAAGACGTGAAGTTGCGGGATCGAATTGGCCAATCGACTGATGTTTCTTTATATAATACGCTCAACAAACATTTCTGTAAAAAATAGATTTTCTTTTCAGCTGGCATTGTCCTGTTGGTAGCACATATCAAGGCAAGTACATTCCACACACCATTGAACGCTCCTCTTTTACTTTGTGTTAAACATAAAATTAAGAAGGATAATAAAACATTTTAAACTACATTCATAATTGTTTCTATTAGTTTGCTAGTAAATTGCAGTAGAGCTGCTTAAAAGGAACAGTTAAGCTAAGCTCTCTCCATTTTTCTCTTTATAGATCTCGAAGTTCTTATGAACTAGCTGTTTCATACACAACTGACATTTGCTAAATTATACAACTGATTAAGTTGAAGGGATTCTAGCATCATGTAGCTCTTAGCTTGTACCTTTCACAATAAAAAAGAATTATTTTATGGCAACTGAATTTTCCCAATAGTTTGTAAATGTTTTGGGATAGGCATTATTTTTGTACATAAGAAAACTCTATTTTAAAAGTAACTTTTCCCTTTATTCTCAAATATTTACTATCTGCTCTTGAATCATACTAAGTTTATTCATTATAATCATGCCAAGTCGAAGTATAACAAATTGTAAGCAAAGCTAGCTGAAAAAAGCCTTTGCAACTGTTTCTTAAGCTCGCGTATAATTACTCTATGAGCTTAGGGGCCTCAAGTAAATCATATTTAAAGCAGTCTTACTTTCAGGTTTCTAATGTTGCTTTGAATAATATAACTTGGTTCTTCAATCCACTCCAGGACATAGCAAGTCTCACTGATGCACAATTCTAACAATTTATAGAAGAAAATTATCAAATATATTATCTATGAAATATACTTTTTCTCCCACAAATCTTAGCTTATTTGAATTTTTTCCAAGTATACATTTCATCATCGATTCCGACTCAAGACTTGGCAGAGTTCGATAATGTGTGCCCTAATGGCATATCAGTGACGAGTAAGGCAATATATTGAGCTTAAGTCAAGCCGGAGGTAGACTTTCTAGATGCATTTCATTAGGCGAACTTGTCATAATTTCGAGTTGAAATAAAATAAAAAGTCAACTACTATAAAATCGGTACCGTTATAAGCCGAAAATGGAATCGAGTTCAAGGCAATATCTAAGTCATCGCACCTCATAAAAGTTGCTCGTTAAACCGGGCAACATAAAAAATAAAAGCTCAACTCTACAGATTATCATAAAAAGCAATATCTTTCAACAACAACAACAGCAACTGAAAAAACCTACAAATTCGGGGTCTCTCAAAGGTTCAGACCACCAAGACGTCGCGTCGTCCGTCTGGTGAACCCATTCTAAGTAGCATATTGTTGTTCAGATTTAGAAACAAATTACAAAATTACGCTAAACGCGCGTAGTCTCTTTGCAAAGGTAGCGCGGCTTTAACGATCAATAATGTCACATAAGTCAACGATTAAAGTGCCGTAGTCCGATTCAAAGATGGGTTTTATGAGCAGCATCTCGAGTCTCCTCAATTTGCTCCCCCTCCCCACTCGTCTCTGGTTGGGCTCGTAAAATGCTCGTGTAGTGGCTGTGAGCGATCGCCTCTTGGGTTTTCGGTACAGACAGGTGCGAAATCTTTTTCAAAATATCTCCACAAACATTGGAAACCAGCTCTGCATTTGTTCGCCGAGCTCTGATATGATTTTACGACTCTTGTATTTTCGTTTTTTACGATCGCACAACGTACAAATCGTTTAGCGCTGGAGCCACACAAGATTCCATTCGAAAAGTGGACTTGACGAAAATAAATAAACTCGCAGATACTCATCAATTGGGGAGGCATAAAGCTGTTATGAATGCAGCTTTGGCAGCCTCCTTAAAGCACATACCAAAAATAAAGATACTTAATACATACTTAAATGGAGACTAAGAATTTAGATCGATAAAAAGTGAGTCGAAGAAGATGTAAGCTCAAGTAAAGCTTTTAAGCAGTTTTTCATTTAGCTTTAGTTTTAGCTTTGGAGAAGTCTATTGTTGAGCTTAAATTTAAAGGTATATCAAAGTATATCAGTCTTTCTATTCGCATTAAGAGTAAATTAAAGCAAGCTCTGTAGTAATTTGCGCATAAAAAGCTATTGAAAGCTCTACCCTGTGGCATTAAAAGCACACTAAAGCTTAAACGTATTAATTTCACAAGCTCCCGCATTAAAAGCACATTAAAGTGCAGCGTGAGCTTTTCAGAAGTCATGCAAATTGAAAGCTCTGATTGAGCTTTTGAAAAAAATAAATATATTTAAAATTGAATAAATTAAGTTTTCAATCATAAAAACTCATTGGGGTTATATCATTAACCTTTGCTTTAAAAGCTCACTCTACTCTACGTTCTACAGAAAAGTAAAAAAATAAATTTTCACACTTATAATATAATATTTTTTCAATATACCCAACTCCAATGCCAGCCTGGGTATTCTATATTATGCAAATCATTGAAGATCTAATTGTTTTCTTTATTTTTCGCTCGTAAAATCAAATGAAATAGATATTCTCGGATCTCTCATCCGAGAGAGTTGAGGCATATGTGCAAGCCGGTTCCTAAAATATTCCAATACAAAGAAACTATTCATTATTTGTTTTGTTTTTTTTTTCATTTCGATTTTTATGATCAACGGCTATAAAAATATTATAAAATTAAATTCCAATTATATGTTTAGAATTAGTAAGTTCAACTCATTAAATTTGCTTATCGCAATGGCTGAGCTCGAACAAAGACTCCAAAATTTCAAATGTATTTCAAATTAATTTTTAGAATAAATTTTGATTTTTTTTATAAATTCTTGACCACACACACAAGTAGCTGTGGGCTAAAAATCTTGGGGGGGTTATTTTTATGGTTTTTATAGTTTTTATATTGTGATCTATTAGGGGCCATTAGCTGATAAGAAGACGCTCGAATTTATGGCTGAAGTTCTACATTTATTAATGGACTTGAGGCCATCAAAATTGGTAAATACTCAGTAATTCAGTATTTTCGTGCAGTGTAGAAAGTTGTTGCCGGAGCCTTTCACTGCCGTTGCTGAGACTTTTGCTAAAGCACTTGACGCCTTGCTGTCTAGACCTTGCCAGACGAGGCAGCAGA